AGAGGGCCCAGAAATGTGTCAGAAAGTTACCTGGGCCTCTCTTTCCCCGTGCCATGTGCTTACTTTCTCGTTCTTTGCCAGCAAGAGAGAAGTGCCCACATCTCCTGGTTCCCTAGGGAATCTAAGTAGTGCAGAGTCCAGTGCGGTATGGTTCAAGCTGAGAGGCACTGGTACAGTTGTGTGTTCTCTTAGAGGTGCCAGGGTTGGAGGGAGAGCCCACATAAGGATATTGTACCTCAGAAGCCCTAAAGCCTCTTTCTGTAGCATTGCACCATAATGGACCTAATCCTAAATAGGTCCCACCCTCTTAGTATGTGTCCTGGCTGGTGAATCAGCTGCATTGTGATGCTTTCGTTTTCACACCCTGCCTCACATGGGTACACGATATTATCATGTCACCATGACACTGCATGTCAGATACAAACACCCAAACGTCACTGTGGCCTTAGAGCCAAATATGTTCACATTTCACGACTCTTGCAAGGGCCAGGTTTTCAAAGCAGGGTAGAAGAGGCATGCAGAAAAATGTGTGTGTGCCCCTTGCACCCACAGAACCCCATTTTTGCATGTCTGAAGCCAGCAATTGAGGGTTGTTGTTTTTTTGCAGGTGTGGTGGGTTTGCACATAGGAGATTTTGCAGGCATAATTAATGTACAGGTGAGGTGGGGTGGCGAGTGCACTAGGTGAATACGTATGTGTATGCATGCACAAGGAGAGGATGAGGCTATAAAGGTGTCACGGATCCATAGGATCGGTGCTACACTCACAGTTTTGCAACAGTCTCTAGGAGGAACCCCTTCAATGTGCCGGACCCCCAAGGGGTCTCACCCTTCCTCCAGAATAGGCGATGCAGCCTCACCACCTCCTGGACTGAACCTCTGGGGCTTCAGTGCTCCTGCTTCACACTGTGAGCTCTGTTCGGAGAGTCCAACTGAAGTAGACTCCTGGTAGAGACGTACACTCTTCGAGGATTAACGCATGTTGCCAAGTATTTACAGCACCACTCAGGCAGCGTTATCAGAACAATAGGGTTTATTAGTCAGCTGGAACACAGCACAGGAAGTCCTCAGTTTAGCACAGAGAATTGAAGGTTAAAATATAGTCTAGTCTGGTTAGCCAAAGCCCGGCCAAGCTGGCGTGAAAGTGAACCCCATTTCAGGCTCTGTCTGCCTCTCTCTGTCTGACCCCCTGGGTCAGTTCCCAGGTGAGAGTCCTGACTCTTTCCAGAGCCGACTCTTATCCCCCACCTCATACCCTCCCAGTCCTTTGTTCTCGAGCTGGGGTACCTGCTTAGCTTCCCTGCTGAGAAGTGGGGAAATCCGTCTCCCTCTGGGTTGTTTCTTGCTAGGTGTCAATGTCTGGCGACTGGGATCAGCCTTGACCAGTCCTTTGTAATGACCCATTCAGGCTCAGAGAGCTAGGCAGCACACACACTTGTGTCTCCAAACCTGCCCTGTCTCTCTGAGAGCAAACACTCCTTTCCCCCGCCAACATATAGGGGAAACTGAGGCATGCATTGGGGTCACACAAATATTACAAAAGATTCCCATTTTATTACAAAAGGGTATGCACAGGGGTTTGAAAGGAAATTTTGAGGTGCACAGTGGGCGTGCACACAGGTGTTTGTGGGTGCACAGGTTGTGCTCTGCTTTGAATACTTGCACCTAATTGCTTTGCAAGCAAAGAACAGACTCATGACTTCCCTCAGATTTTGTGCTGAGTGGTAATCCTGCTGCAGATTGTGGCAGGGGTTTGCATGGGTAGGTGTGATATCCTGTATTTAATTATGTGCAAGGCTATGATTTTTTCATGGAGGTCGCAGAAGTCACGGAATCCATGACTTCCAGTGACCTCTGTGAATTCAGCCCTGTCAGCCAGGAGCTGCAGGGTCACCCCTCTCTGGCCCCGCGGAGTGCCCAGCTGCTGTGGGGACGCAGCGGGCATCGTGGGCTCCCCGCAGCTCCCAGTGAACATGGGCCCTGGGGACACCCTCGGAGCTCCCAGCCAGCAGGGATGGCAGAGCTGCAGCTCCTGGCTGCCTCGGGCAGCATGGGCCCCCCGCAGCTCCCAGGCATTGGGGGCCCCCCGCAGCTCCGAGCTGCCGCGGGTGGCAGGGCCACAGTTCCTGGCTGCCGCAGGCAGCGGAGACCCCCTGCAGTTCCTGGTGGACATGCGGGGCAGGGGACCCAGGAGCTCTGAGCTGCTGCGGGCATACCCCAAAGGTCCCAGCTGCCGCAGACGGCGGGGGTACCCGGAGCTCTGAGCCAGGCCCCTGGAGTTCCGAGCCACTGGGGGTTCTTCAAAGCCCCAGAGCTTGGAGGGGCCCCTGCAGCTGCCCAACCTCTGCAGGCAGTGTGGGGAGCCCACAGCTGAGCTCCCTATTTTGTCAGGGATATTTTTAGTAAAACTCAGGGACAGGTCACGGGCAATAAAGAAAAAGTCAGGAAAGCCTGATGACCTATCCTTGACTTTTACTAAAAATTTCCGTGACAAAATCTTAGCCTTAATTATGTGCCATTGAATGACCTGAGTGTGGTATTGTGTGTATCTCTTACACTCACCTTTCTCTGTTCTTGGGCTTGCAGGTTGCAGCTACAGGACAGGATAAGAATTCTTCGCTACAATGTCTTCTCCGGTAATTTCCTTTCATATTTCTACCTCCCCTGATGTTTTCTCCATTGTACTTTACTGAGGGGAGGTGGGCATGAAAACAATAGGCAACTGGGGCAGGAATGACCTAATCCTGGCTGATGGGTAACTCAGGAGACAGCTCTGGCATGTGCATGTTTCTGATTGTTGCTATGCTTAGATCTCACCTCACATTATGTGCATATGGCTGACTGCAAACCGGTAACACACTGTGCACATGAGAGGGGCACAGGTCCCTACGCTGCTGTAGAATATCAGGTGTCAGTACAGTATTGGAGTAGCAGGAAACATACTGTGAGAACTGAGAGTCAGCCTCTTCAGTGCAAGCTTGTATCTTCAAAGCTCTCCTGGCCGGACTTTCAGTTTGCAGAGGCACCAGTGCACAGAGGAGAATGTGTGCACAACTGTGCGCTTAACATCTGCAGATGCAGTTGCTGGAGATGGGTAACCCAATGGGTAAATGGATGCCTTTTTGTGTGTGCAGTAGCATTCATTGTGCATGCAGTTGTGGTGATTGCATATGTAGGGGTAAGTGCACATAGCTATATTTGGACTTCGAGCCTCCTTTTCTCAAAATGTGGCCCTTTGTGTCAGATACACAGTCTCTGTGCCAGGATATGCAGGGAGGGGTTCCAGGAATTTGCTTCAGCTTTAAAAAACAAATCTGATATTTTTCCCCAAGGGCAAATCTGTACATGTGCACCTCTTTCCCTTCTTTCCAGCTCAGTGCCCATTCTCTGCCCCTCCTTCGGCTCCCCCCAGTCCCACAAACATCTTCCCTAGCTCCCAACTCCTTCCCTTTTCTTCCACTCCTTCATATCCATACTGTCTGCAGCTTTGTCAGATAAGCTGGGTTGGGCCTGGTCACTGCCTGGCTGGGAGATGTGCAGTGGTGGATTTAGAGTTAGTGGGGCCTTGTACGCAGCTTCATTTTGGGACCCAGCCAAGAAAAAGAACATTCTCTCTTATCTCCGCCCCCTCCCCCCCCCCGTTTTTCATTCTTTTTTTCTTCATCCTCCTCCTATATTATAAGTAATAGGAAATAAATTAAAATAAAGTGAGGTACCTTGACTGGGGTTGGGGTGCAGGCTGGGTGCGGGCTCTGGGCTGGGGCAGAGGGTTGGGGAGTGGGAGGGGGTGAGGGGTGCGGGCTCTGGGAGGAAGTTTGGGTGCAGGCTGTGGGCTCTGGGCTGGGGGTTGGGGTGCAAGAGGGATCGGGGGGGGCGAGGCTTACCTTGGGCGGCACAGCTCCCAGAGTGATCGGCACACCCCTCTGGCAGCAGCTCCTAGGCGGGCAGGGGGGACCAGGGGGTCTGTGCGCACCGCTGCCTGCAGGCGCCGCCCCTGCAGCTCCCATTGGCTGCAGTTCCCAGCCAATGGGAGCTGCGGAGTCGGCACTCAGGGCGGAGGCAATGCACAGAGAGACACACACACACCCCAGGGGCCGCAGGGACATGCTGGCCGCTTCCGGGAGCGGCATGGAGGGAGGGAGGCAGCGCGGGCAGGGAGATGCCTTAGCCCTGCTGCACTCCTGCTGGCACATCTCTGCACACCCCTTTTGGGGAGGGGGGCAGCAGGTCTCCGTGTGCTGCCTGGGGCAGGGGCAGCGTGCAGAGCTGCATCCCCCCGCCAAGGGCACGCAGAGTCGTGCCAGCAGCCGTCGGCTTCCGGGAGCGGCATGGGGTCACCGGCCGCGGAATGCAGGCAGCCTGCCTGCTTGAGCCCTGCTGCGCCACCGGCCGGGACTTGGGGGCAGGTTGTCAGATTAGATTTGTCCTGCATTTTGGGGGCCCCCCTGTCATTGGGAGCCCCATGCCACTGCACTGTTTGTTTAATGGTAAATCCACCTCTGGAGATGTATAAAGAAAACCAGGGTGCTGCAGGAAGTGGGGTTCATGAGTCAGTATGTGACACTCTTCTCCCTGGAACTGGCCCCACTTGGGCGGTGGGAAGCATTGTGCTGTGGGGGGTGGTGTCTCATACATACGCATGTAACCGAGGTGCTGACCATTTGTGATCCCATAGCTCTTTAAGGAAGAGTAGGGGTGTTCTCCCCAGTGTTCTGTCCAAATTCAAACTGTAGTAATTCTGTGCAGCCTAAAATTCTATTTGTGGATCCAGATGGATACGGTATTCTTCACTCTGGATCCAGATGGATTCGGTATCCTCCACTACATCAAGGCATTGTGTTGCAGCACATTGTTTGTGTGAATGATTGGTTCTTTCCATGTGCTTAGCTCTCTGTTATCCTATTCTGTGGGTATGTCTACACAGCAGCCTGAGGTGCATTTACAGCTTGGGTGGACAGACCCGCTCTAGCATTGCTAAAAATAGCAGGCTAGACATGTTGGCATGGGCTTCAGCATAGGTGGTCCAAGCCCGCCCAGGACCTTGGGGACGTTCTCTCATTGCTAGCCTGCACTTAAGTCCATGCTGCCATGTCTACACTTCCATTTTTAGCAGTGCTAACATAGATGAAGCAAGCACAGACTTGTCCACCCAAGATGCCATCACTTGGGATTGCAGTGTAGACGTGCTCTTTAAATTAAGGTGGGAAGGTGGACCAATTCAGGTTAGCCTAACAAAATGTGAAATTAAATCCTATCCACAGAGAGAGAGAGACAAACCTGTACCTATAGAGTTGCTGTTATCAAGATCTTACTTGGGTAATGAGCTTTGAAGGTATATAGGTATGGCTGATATTTGGTTTTCATTCTTTCTCTGCTGTAGGTTCCTGGGAGCAGCTCCTCCCCTGGGGTCCTGTGGACACTATAGTCAGTAACCCACCTTATGTCTTCCATGGAGACATGACTCACCTGGCTGAAGAGATCCTCAGGTGGTCAGATAAGACCTTTCTATCTTTCTCTTTCCCATGCATTATTTCACCCTTCTCTGTTCTCTGTGGAGAAGTTTCAGGGGTCTAGTACCAACAAGTTAGGAGATATCCGTCGGGGATGGGGAGTGGTGGAATGCAGTCCAAGAAGGGCAACCACCTGACAATACACTTATTTGGAAGCCCGTCCCTTTCATTCCTGCACAAATTGAGGATCTTGGTATTTTCTCTCCTTCAGACCTAGTTCAGAGATTCCCTCTTGGCCCATTTGTTCCCTGGTGAGCTTGCCTACTTCTGATACCATGAGGAATTGGGCAGAAGACATGTGAAAACGCTACATGACTTAGAGAAGGGGTCTGTGAGCTGGAAACACTATCCCTTGTTTCTGGGTGAGCAGGAGTGGTGTTGAATGCCTGGCACGTTCCCATGCTAACTCACCGCAGTACGCTCCTGAATGTCTCCTGGGTAGTGATACCCCCAGGGTTGAATGGAGCAGCTGTAGTAATCAAGCTGCAGCTCAGAGGGGCAGAGCTTAGAACTGACTTGCTTTTCATTGATAGCTATAACAAGAGCCACCATCTGTTACAAGGCTTTTGTCTAATGAAAAAACTCTGAGTAAGGCCATTTGGGGACAGTAGTTGGGCCAGTGATGTGATGCATCACCTTCCTCTTTGCCTGTTAGTTTCCCACAAAACTGATTGAACTGGAGGTTAGAACTGGTTCCTGAGTCCAACATCTGGCATGATGCCAGTCCGCCACGTCCGCCCCCCCCCCCCCCAAAAAAAAAAAAACAGAACAAAATACCCCCATCCCTGAAAGGTGGAAACTTCCTGTTGTAATGATGTGCAAATTCAAACTTTTCTGAACTAGGTAGATCCTTCTGTATTGTACCCCACAGTGTGTTAGGTTAGATGGCAGCTCAACTTGGCTGTTGGCAGTGCTTGAGCCAGGAGAAAAAGTGATACGTTGTCCTGCTGCCTACTCACTTTTGCACCAGTGACATAATTGCACCTTCCTAGCGGCTCAATTGAAGCACTGAATAATAATAATGCCACCTACTGGCCAAGTGAGTTGTGGTTCTGGTGAGTGCCCTTAGGCTGAGAAGGCAGCGTGGTGGGCACCAGATGGCAAGTGAGGAGACCTGGGTTCTAGTCCACGTTCTGCCCTGAATATTCTGTGGCACCGGAAACAAATCATTTAACTTCTCCCCCCTCAGTTTACTCACAGAAAAATGGGGGTAAAACATTTATCCACCTTTGTGAAGCACTCTGAGAGGAAAAGGCCTGTGCCAGAGCTAAGAATTACTATTACAGTAACTCCTCACTTAACGTCCTCCCGCTTAACGTTGTTTCGAAGTTACGTCGCTGCTCCATTAGGGAACATACTCGATTAAAGTTGTGCAGTGCTCCCTTATAACATCGTTTGGCTGACTTTACAAGGGAGCATTGCACAAGTTCCTCTTCTCCGCCTCCTCCCCCTCCCTCCCTTCCTCCCTCCCTCCCAGCACTTCCCCCACCGCCAAACTGCTGTTTGGCGGCGCTTAGGACTTTCTGGGGGGGCAGGCAGGGAGTGAGCGAGCGGGTAGCTGTCCCGTTTCTCCCCCCCCCAGGCAGGCAGGGCCACCCGCAATGCAGGGGCTTTAGGGGCTGCAGGGCCCTGGGCTAAGGGGGCCCCAGGGCCCCGGCCTGCAGCTCTAAAGCCCCTTTCGGAATGCAGCTCTTCAAGCACAGGCCGGAGGAGCAGGGGCAGCCGCACAGCCAGCGGCCAGAG